GGGGCTGGGGGCCGCAGGGACGCTGCCCACCTCCCTTCCCCTCCCCTCGCTGCCGGGGGTCCGGCGCCGCTCTCCCCATGTGCCCCCTCCGCAGCGTCAGGGCACAGCCCACGCAGGACCTCTCCTGGAGCACCTCTGCTGCGAGGACAGGCTGAGGGAGCTGGGGATGCTCCGCCTGGAGAAGAGAAGGCTCCGTGCTTTACCCCCTTCAGTCCCGGACCAGCTGCCAGTGCCCACCGCTGTCCCTGTCTGGCTTGGGGCGCTTGGAAAAGCTGCGACCTGCAGAGCGGTGCCTGGAGCCCGGCGCATCTCCGAGCCCGGGTCACAGAATCCCGGAATGGTTTGGGCTGGAAGGGACCTTAAAGCTCACCTGGTTCCAGCTCCCCTGCCAGGAGCAGGGACATCTCCCACCAGCCCAGGGTGCTCAGAGCTCCATCCAACCTGGCCTTGAACCCTGCCAGGGAGGGGGCAGCCACAGCTCCTCTGGGCAGCCTGGGCCAGGGCCTCCTGCTCTAAGGTCACCCCGGAGCCTTCTCTTCTCCAGGCTGAACAGCCCCAGCTCCCTCAGCCTGTCCTCGTAGCAGAGGTGCTCCAGCCCTCGGATCATCTCCGTGGCCTCCTCTGGCCCCGCACCAACACATCCCTGTCCTTCTTATGTTGGGGGCTCCAGAGCTGGACGCAGGACTTGGGCTCTCAACGTTTCTCAGGCAGGCGTGCGTTCTCCACACACGAACACCTCGCGTTCTCCCTCACCCGAAGGGCAGCCCAAGGCTGCCTCGTACTGCTGCTATCTCACCAGCTCACGGGCTCTGTCCTGGGAGCTCCCCCTCCCCCCCGCGCTAAGGTCACCCAAACGCTCTCTGCTCCAGGAAAAGGTACTCACCCCCGGGAGACTGACACTTGGAGGTTGTAGCTGGGAAGCAGCGGCTTGTCCGAGAACTCGAACATGAAGTTGTCTGCGTCTTGCTCCTCTTCCTCCTGGTCTGAACTTCCTGGAGGGTTGAGCAGAAGATCGCATCCAATGCTGTCCTTCCCCTCTGCAACAAGCAGAACAGACGTTGGCATCGCTCACGGCTTCACACCAGCCACTGCTCCTCTCTCCCTCGGGAGCGGC